GAATAATATTAAAACATTCAAAACTACAAACTTTATTCAAACTGTAGAATGTAACAGCACCATTTCATGGAATTATTAAGAAATCCAAAAAAATAATTCCATATGAGTCTGATAGGCAGAAAACCTTAATGTAAATTGATCATGTTTATTGGACCAGAATTATATAATATCTGAAGATACAATATAAATGGATCTGTTTAAAAATGAAAGCAAACATGGATAAGTGTCCCCACAATAAAATGGAGTGTCAAAAGGACAGTTTTTTCCCATGACACTGCTTTTTTAACTACCCTTGCTCTTCAGCAATGTTTATTGTTTAAAAAAAAAAACGTGTTGATTAGAATTGGAATAAAACCTAAGCACATGATGAAAGTGAATTTATACATTTTCTTTGTTCTTCAGAATAGGCAGCAAAAATAATAAACATAAGCACTGCTGAGAGCTACAAAGGATGTGAAGTTATGGAGAGTCACGATCATCCATGTCCCTAGTGTAATAATATAAAGCAGCATATGCTAAATGTCAACAGATGGATCAAGAGCATTAACATGGCAGATTCCAGTCTGATACAGGAAATAAAAAGACACTGTACTCATGGAACAAGCTTGTAAACAAAAACAAAAAAGATTTTTTTTGAAAGTATCAGGTCATCATGTTCAAGGTCAGGAATGAGCTTGCAGCCTCTGGCAGGGATATATTAACCATGGACAAAACAAAGAAATATCCTAAATTGAATGAAATTGTAAATGACTAATTTTTTGAGTAACAATTTTGTCCAAAAAAAGAACCAATTAAAATCATTTGATCTCTTATTTTCTGTATTTGTTATCTCACCTAAAATATATATATATATTTAAAAGTAGAAAACTTTGTACCTTTCATGTGGGGATATACTATATATTTAAAATTAGTATTCGATCTTTACTTTCTTTATTATTCACAAATAAATCAACTATACAATTTTTTAAAATATTTATTTGAAATTTTTTAAAACTATTTATTTTTTATATTACCCAATTGAAAAATTTTATATATATACTAAATGTTATTTATTTATATGTATATATATTTACCTGTAAATTGTATATATATTTTGGGGATAAGATTTTAAAGTTATTTTTATTTTATTTCAACTAGACTGGATATTTTATTAAATAAAAGAATGATTTTAAGATTCATGCCATTTAACTTGTCAAATGTAGAATTTATTCAGAGATTCAACTGCTTTAAGCTAAAAGGTATTACCAAAATCAAGAACAACGTACACATTAACTACAATTTGAAAGGGTTTATTGAGTATGTTACATTTTCCAACATGTATATTCAATAGAAACTTTTGAGGCCGATTAAATAAAAATTCCCACCAAGGATATACAAGAAAATTCTTTTTTAATTGATGGTGTGAAACAAAGGCAACAATTACTTTTGTGCGAGATCAACCAAAGTTACTGAATAGAGAAATATAAAAAAGAAAACACCATTAAGGAGAGAAAGAACAAGTAAATGAACAAGAATTAATAAGACAGAAGATAAATGATTGATATTTAAATTTTTGAAGATCAAAGTTGACAGGGAAGCAAGAAAACCAGAAGAGAGTTTCATAAAGAAGAAGTGCATAAAGAAATAAATTAGCATAGAACTTACATCTACATCTAGCCATTTCAACTGTAAAATGATGAGACCTTGCCCCAATCTAGTACTTGTGGTTGAATCTACAAAATCTAGGTACCATGGAGAAAATTTATCAGAACAATTACTATGAAAGTATTTATAAAAGAAAAGAAAGAAGCTACATTATGGTGGTGGGAAAGTGACTGAAGCTGAGATGCCAGGTCAAGGCCAATAGCATTGCAGATTCTTCTGCAACCTTGTTGCCAGGTGTTGAGTTTTATTAAGTTGATATATTATACCAAGAGTTCTGAATTCAACAAAATAGTATTTCCTTTCAAGAGAGAAATGAAAAATTGTTTCCTTCAGAATATTATATCTGCTCTATGTTGTTAAAAATGTGGCTTTCTTAAAAATTACTTCTGTATAAATGTTGATTTTGTGTATTGAGTCATTGATTCTTCAAATTGAGAGATTATGCCAAATTGTGATTTGAATCATTAAAGGTCAACAAACACTGCTTTATATTTAGTTTTGAAATAGCTTTATTACTGGATTATCCAATCAGTTCTACTTTATGTGCTATCTCCCCTCAGGATCTAGGTGATCATGGCTTTCCATAAATTCCTGTTCCTTGTAGGTCTTAATAAACTTTGTTTTTGTTATTTCTCCTTAGCCCTGTTCTACCATCCATTTACTCAAACTCACTAAATATTTTATGCATTGTTCTCCTCTGTCGCTCTATTTATCCCATGAGTAACAGATTTTCCAAGCCCTCCTTCCTTATTGTATACCCCAGAAACCTCAACAGTTTCTTCCAGTTAAGTATTAGTTTCCATTTTCTCCCAAACTTTGTCATTGCTCACATTTAGTCCATGGTATCCTTCTGTAGACCAACATTGCTGTTGCTTCAAGTCTCTTCTTCATCTTTGAGATCATCCAGCACTCACTGCCATACAGGATAGATATCACATAGCAGTTTAGTACTCTTTTTCATGTTTGTGGCAAAATTTTTCTATTTCTTAGAATTCTGCTTAGCTTTTGCAATGCTTCTTTGGTTATCCTAATCCACCTTCGGATTTCAGTGTCACACTTTCCGTCCTGTTAAAACACTTCCCAGATATTTAAATTTTTGCACGTTTGATTTTGGTAGCTTCGCTTTGCAATTCACACTTTGGGTTCATCCTTTTACTAACAACCATCCATTCTGTCTTCTTGCAGTCAATGTTTAATCCATTCTTCTTACTCAATGATAGACTGCCAGCTATTGTGGTGACCGTGACCAAAGTGAACCTTCAAGTTGGAAGTGCATTGGCTGTGGTTTGACCTGAAGAGGGATGAGCTCCACCAGGTCTACTTGCCCAAAACATAAATACCTCCCTGGCTTTCAACCCAGATATGTAGAGAGGACTAGTCAGGTGCTAAGCTGCACAATGACTCTAAAACCATACTCAGTCCTGAGACTTATATGCAAGATCTGCTTATTATTCCGTCTAAGCTTTTATATTATTTACTGTTTAACCCATGCTGTCAAAAATGAAAGCAATTTAAATATATTTTGCCAATGATTATGTCCTTTCATGCAGTTGGCCTTTTTACCTCGTTACACCTTGCAGTAATCCATTGCCAAAGACACTGCTATGACATCAGCAGTTCAAGAGAAATAACTCGTACAGAAAAAAAAAACAAAAAAAAAACAAACTATAAAACCCCTAGTGTATTATTTAAGATTATATTTTGACAAGCTGTAAATTCCTCTACCAAATGCTTGCTATAAACTTCCATAGATGATAGTGATTTTAGCTGATGTTTCAAATTCTCATCCATATCCAAATTTCTCAGAGTTATGGAAAATCTATTGCTTATCAGAAGTGAATCCCCTATTTCAAAATAATCCACATGCTGTTTTCACTTTGAATGAAACTATATATTAAACCACTAAATGTTCACCATAACTCTCAAGGGATCATAGCATAGTTTTCATTGATTGAGAATCTCACTCAGCCATTGCACACATTTTCTCTATTTTTAAAACAGTTAGATTTTATTTTATTCCATTTCTTTCATCATAAATATTATAATACAAAATCCAGAGACAAATATGCAATATGATAGGTCCTGATCTGGCATCTAATCTAATCTATTCCACAGATATGTCAGGCTCCCTCTGTCTCTTCTCCAAGAATTTTCATGCAACTTTATTCATTTCATACGCTGGTTCCCTGGCTACATGAATTTAATGAGCTACCAGGCTGGCATCTCGATCCCACCCTTTCACTGTCAAAACAGTTAAATGTAACTGTCTCTTCTTCTCCTGCACTTCCTGTCTGTGGAACTCCCTTCCCCTTATTTGCTTCCCTGATGACTATAATTTTCAAATATTCAAGTGTAATGTCAATCGACATCTGACACCCTGATCTTGTTCCCCATCCTTCTCTGTATCCTTTCCTCAAATACACCTCTTTACTCTTGTTCTCAATCTTCTGTAACCCCTTGCATGCTAGTGACACTCCCGCCTTGCTTGGGGTGAATTGCCTTAAAAAAAATATATAAAACCTGTATAATGTATGTAATACACTTGACAAGAAAGAAAAGAACAAATTGTCAACTCATTCACCAAAATGAAAAGCATGAAAATTCAATGAACTTGAAAATTAACCTCAAATATAATGGTCAGCTTCTTCAGGAATTTTTGTAAGTTAAACATTGAAAGAAATCCCATTTATGTAGACATATATAAATTTTAATGAAAGCATGTCAGAAATGAAGAATTTTGGAAAATGTCACTAAGAAAAAAAATCAATTAAAAATAAAATACTCTAAGAGTCTGTATATGCAATCAAGCATTACTGGCTGCAAATATATTCTTTGTTCAATATATGATTCAAAACATATATATATTAAGTAAAAAATATCCAAAAGATACTGTGATATGAGAAATCTTATTTGGTAGTAAACAGATGAATATGATTTAAATAATGCAAAAAATTACAACTGACTTTCTGTATTTAATTGCTTTCCTTAATAATATACTTAATTTTAAACAAATTCCAGTTAAGAAAAATATACTGCATCAATTCTTATTCCTTATGTTTGGGCAAATGGGTTGATAGTCTGATTAAAGAAAATATGATTAAGTGTTTTATAAATATAAATAACTATATATTTAATTAGCTATTTACATAGTTTGTGATATTACAGGCAGAATTTATATCTAAATGCTCATTTATTAAATTATTTTGCCTGCAAATTCATAGCACCAAAAATAGTATTAAAAAAAGAAAAAGAAAAAAAAAAGGTCTGTGCTCATCAAAAAATGTTTATTTACAATGAATGAAAAATTAGTTTAGAAATAAAACTGACTTTTAAAAATTCATTTTTAAAATTTGTAATCAAGGCCGAAGTGGAGCCAGACCCAGCCTAGCTCGAACTTCATTTGCTTCTCTGATTTCCATTTCTTTTGTACTTTCTCGACCACCTCCACCACTTCTGTGTCCTCTGTCTCTGTGGTGATCAGTGTCTCTGTCTCTCTTATCATCACGATCCCTATCACGATCTCTACCACGATCACGATGGCGATCATCATCACGACTTCGCTCTTTGTGATCTCGCTTGGTCTTTTTGTTTCGCTTTTTTCTGAAGAATCAAAAGAGAAATAATAACAATAATGAAAACTGACAATGACTAATAAAGGAATACAATGATAAAATAATAAAAGGTAATAACAATAATAAAATCATCAAAAATTAGAATATTTATAGTAAAAGTAAGAACAACTGAATCAAGGGTCTGGAGTGGTAACAAAAAGAGTTGGATTTTCCATTGATATTAATGGTCAGTATTCAAAGTCAGCTTTTATTGCCCAATTTATATTAACCAACCAATATTGAATACACTTTTATTTATATGGTAAATATGCCATGTAAATTCCAGCTTATAGTATTTGTTTTTACTAGGAATATTTACAATAAGTTATTTAGTAATGTGAGATTTTCTTGTACAACACAAGAATCATATTGGAAATATATATAATAATAATATATATGAAAAGTATATATATATATGTTTGTGTGTGTGTGTGTGTGTGTGTGTGTGTGTGTGTGTGTGTGTAATATATTATATATATTATTATTTATATATTATATGCACGGTACTTATTAGAAAGCGCTCAATATCAGAGATAGAGCTAGTTTGTCAGACAATCACAAAAGTGTGAAACCCAGGGTCACAAACTCATATCAATCCAACCAAATATAATAATATAGTTACTGATATTTTTTTAATTTCTGACAGGAACACAGCTTTGGAATTAGCAAGAAATTTGAATAGAGAACATAGAACAATCAGAAAAGAAATTGAAAACATTGGTAAAATAAGAACAAGAAAAAACTGAAATGTTGCAAAAGAGATTTGAAAACAAAATGAAAAGAGTTAATAAGCAAGAGGATTGACCAGAAAGACAATATTTAAAGAAACTGGTGTTGTAAATGAAGATGGAAAAATGGTGCAGAATCTTAAGAACATTGACTAAAGCCATGAAAGCTACCAAAGTACCACCTTTAAGTAAATACCACAAAGAGAAATGTGTAAGTTGAACAAAGAAATACACGAAAACTGATTTCTCAACAGTAATTTTAGTAACTACTGTAGAGCTGATCACTGTGTTAGAGGTTAGGTCCTCCAGGGAAATATTTAGCCAACACAACTTAGAAGATAACAGTGGATATGGAATAAAGTTTTGAACAAATATTTCAGACAGTAAAATTAAAAGACCCTTTGTGATGATGGTGGTATCAACATAAATGCAAAGAATTATTCTAAGTTCTTGGATAAGACATTTTTGTGGTCACAACAAAGAAGCTTTGAGTTCATGAATATATTCACACAAGATAAGGCTCATTCATATTCTGCAAAGCTGACTATTGCCCACCTTGCCAAAAGTGCTTCAAAAGACAGAAAATTAATTGAACAATCCCCAACTTCTACGGCTCTTAGTCCAACAGCAAAATTGTAGCTCATTATTAGAAGAGATGTACCTAAGAAAAACAATATCCATGCAAAAATATCTGGGAAGAAATAAAATGTCAGGGAACCCATCTTAACATGTAAAATAATAATTTATTCAGGTTTATAGGATAGCGAATTAATCAAATATGTTTCTATGTCCTACATTGTTTGGATTCGTTTATTAATATTTTATGTTTATTTGCTTAATAAATCCCGATACTTAAAAGTTATTATCAATATTTTTAAATCCCGATACTTAAAAGTTATTATCAATATTTTTAGAAGGATAGATATTATAAGCTGAAACTCACAATTTATATTACTAATGTATATATATATCCTGAAAATTTTACCAACATCAGTTGGTTAATAATTTTATGGTGACAAAAGAAAAAAATAAAAATAAAAATTGATTTGTATAATGAAATTTGGCATAGTGTCATCAGGATTTTGAATGTTGGTTTTGATGACAGGCCTTTCTCACTTGAAAGACCAATCGGCCCCCCTCTACACACACACATTTATCCAGTACTAAACAAAGATTAGTAAATATCAATATTAAATGACACTTCAGAATCAGGCTGCTTCTTTATTTCATAACAAAAAGCAGTAAACAAAACAAGGGAAATAAATAGAGAAAATGAAAACAGAAATAAAACTTTATACCCAAAGGAAAGAAAAAAAATTGATCAGACTAACCTGTCATCTTCTCGATGTCGTTGAACTGAAAATAAAAATATGGAGAAATTAAATTTAATGAAGATATAATTTTAGACGAAAGGAAAAAATACTCATCATAAAACAATATTGCATTTCACTTTTATACCTATTTGTATTTTTAATATATCAAATAAAATATTTTAGGATTTTATCTATTTATTTTGTACACAGAAATGTGTTAGAAAAAAGTCATATGATTTACTTAATGATATGTTAAAATAAACTAATTTAAAAAATATTTGCTTAAAGCACTTGCTCATTAATTTATTTGAACAATTTCCAGTTTTTGGTTGGAACATTGTGCATTAAGAAGAAATCAAGGAAAAAGAGATTGCCAAAAGTCAGAAATTAAAGCAAGCATTACTGAAAGAATAAGACAATTATATGTATCATTTTGGAAACTGAGTTAATTCAATCATTTCTAAATATAAAAGATATAGTGTTTCTTTGAATAAAACAGGTTCATTTAAAGAACTTTAACTATATTGAAAAAAAAAAAAAAAAAAACATAAGCAATCAAAAATACCAGGTGAGCGATGACGACGTTCTCGGGACCGTGATCTACTTCTTCTCCTGACAGGACTTTTTCTGTCTCTGTGGGGTGGAAAAAAAAAAAAAATGCATAAAAATTAAAATGCTACAACACTTGTTTCCCAAAGAATTAATTCATTGCATTATGGTACTCATTTTAATTTGTGGATGTCAAAATTATATGCATACTTTAATTGTATTCTTCTTGCTTGAGATATCAAGTTTGATTGAAAGCTGCTTACATATATAATTATACATTATATATGAATAATAACATTTAAATTGATTGGATAACCGTTACAGGAAAATAAATACTAATTGAATTCTATACACTTGATAAGAAAGGCTTATTAACATCGTAGCATAGGAAAGAAATATTTTTTACAAACAGAAAATGTAATGTGAATCTGCTTTGATCATGCTGCTTATACATCAGTTAGAGTTCCTGTCAGTCTCAGGTAATCAAGGATTAACTTTGTGAAAAGTACCATTACTATACCAATGATACTGATCAATAACCAAAATAGTTGTCACTCCAAAACCATATTCTTTTACTGTTAGTGTTTATTAGTTTCAACAATTCTAAAAATTTTGGTAAGCTGGTTTTTGTTATGTAATTCATAAAGAAATTAAAGAACAATGACTAACTTTTTTAGAAAAAATTTGTTATGTTCAAAATAAATCAGATTTAATATTTAAAATTTGTTTGAAAAGAAAATATTTATAAAAATTATAAAAGGGAAGAAAAAAATCTGTCACAAATGAATCTTACATTATCTTTCCTTAAGTGTTAATTTTTCAAACTAAAATATATAAAAAGCATCTTGTAATGAAGTTATCACCAAAACCTTTGCACTATTATAAATTTTGTAAATTGTCTGGCTCTTTAAGGACATAAAAAATACCAGTCATTGATTATGAAAATGGAATCATACATTTCTTGCATTTTCAAAGCGAAAAAAAATAGCAAAACTCTATTAAAAAAAAACAAAAAACTGTTACATTTAAACCATAAGTGTTGTAAGCTCTTAATAATATTGATATATTCAGTTAATAATTAAATCTTTAAATCACTTGGTATATAAAGAAATAAAAAATATAAAAATTTGGCATTACCTTCTATGTGGCGAACGACTGCGATTTCTCCTGGATCGCGGAGAAGGACTCCTGTAAGATTTGTCATTATCTTTATGGCTGCCTCTCTTTCTTTCAGGAGTTGGACTTCGATGTGGTTCCTGAAAGTATAAGACTCAGAATAAGACAAAACAAAAGAATATTCAAAAACAAAAATATAATCCCAATCTGTAAATTAAAAAAAGAAAAGAAAAATTTCTCTAATAAGCAAAACTTTCAGGTCAAAAAATTCCAGATGATTTATTTATGATTAATTATAAGCACTAAATAGAAAACTTTTACAAAAGCTGTAAAAAAAAAAAAAAAAAAATGAAACTTGTAAAATGAATATAATAATGATAAAAGAAAATTTGCAAAGTCTACTTACTATTACTTCTTCTTCTTCTGAAGATTCCATGTCTTCAATGTCTTCATCCAAAGCACTAATTCTTTGTTCTAATTGATTTGTATCTTCTAGAACATTTCTTTTCTGAAAAGTCAAACATTCACTATTGAAGCTTAAACATGTTTAAAACAAAAAAACATTTTATTTTTAACAATTTCATATAATAGCAAATAAATTTAAGTGAAAATGACTTTTACAAAGTCATTTTAAAAAGCATGAAATTATAAAAAGTGTAATATGTCAAAAAATCTTCTAGAAACATAAATACTTAAATATTTACTAAATGAGTGGCAAATCATTATTCCTGTCAAATATCAAAATATACAAAATTTAAAAAAATATACTGAAATTTTAAAGGCAATTCACAAAGATGTTCTAATTATTTGCTATAGGTTCAATAATGTATTCAGAAATTTTCAAAAAATATTAATGGTTTTAAAAATACAAAGTTAATGATTTATTCCGCATGTCTGTAAGAATCAGAACATGATTTTGTTTTTAAAATATTTTGAAATTAAACAAATTATTCTATTGAATACTGTAAAACTGTACGAGTTTATAATGAAAATTTTCTAATTCACAAGATATGCAAACAATATCAAAATGAAGATTCCAGCTAAATTGGTAAAAGATAAATTGAAATACAAATGATTAGAAAAAAAAAAAAATGTAAAAGTAATTGTTTTAAATTGAAGAATATTGTTAGAAACTAAGCCTAAGAAATGAAGCAAATGTGTACATCTACTAACAAATATACAAATTAAGTGTGATGCGTTTCCCTGTGTGAAACATATTCTTATTTATAAAAGGATTGAAATCATATTGTTACCACACATTAGTTTATTGTATTGGTTTCAATGTTGGTACTACTAATGTTCTGGATTGTTTCATTGTAACATCACAAATTCTAATACAAACTGGAGAAACATATTTCTCTATATCAGTATTCAGTTGTATTCAGATTTGATAATCACACAAACAACTGAAAAGTAAGAATTAAAATACAAAATAAAATTAGCAAAGGAGGATATTTGTAAAGAACTGTTTGGATTTTTTAATGAAGCTCATTATGATTCATATGCTCTTATCAATAGCAAGCCCCAGCTTCAAATTTTCCTTTTATATTGTAGGTTTGTTGTATGTTTAGTCACTAATGACCTCAGATCAATATTGTGTACAAAGTCATAATAGAATCATTTGATTAATTAAATTTTATTTTATTTTATTTTTTGTTATAAAGAAAAATCTTAAATTCTTTTACTTTAAAAATCAAATAAAGTGTTTGTTGATTGAACTCTACAGAATTAATAAAAAGCAGAGATGAAGACAAATACCTAGATGCTTCCTATAATGACAAAGAATACTTTTTCATGTATCCATAAAATTCCCCTAAGACAAATATTTTAACAAAAAAACATGAGAAACATTTTCTAAATAGTAAACATATTTATTATAAATAACATTAGAGATTATTAATACCTAGAGAGGAGGGGCGAGAGTGAAACTAATAATAAGTTTAATGATACAGATAGACAAAGAATTGAATGAAGATAAATGATAAAGTTTCAGGCCTTTAATAATTCAGAAAAGACAAAAAAAAAAAAAAAAATTCCCAACCTGAATTCGAGGTAGAATGATGTCACACACTCTCTCTTCACGTAACAATTCATCTATAAATTCATCCATATGAACAATTTCATAAGCTGCCAAAAAAGAAAAAATAGAAAATATGAAAATGAAATCTTTTTAAAGAATTGATAATATTTAAAGTAAATTTTGAGAGTTATTTTTTAAATTGTTTTACAAACACTAAATTGTTATAAATATAGTTGAAATTTTCAATTTTAGCAGACACTAAATTATTAACATTAAATCTTGAGTTTCATTGAATGACAATGGCTTTTTTAGCTTTTAACAATATTAATTATAAGTTAGCTGTTCCATTATCAAGGATATCAAAATATTTTTTTTTATTTGGATATACCTTATTGGTTCTGATCCATATCTTGAAAGCTGATTATATATGTATGACATTGTGTGCCGTCGAGATCATAGAGTTATTGTAAATGCCACAATCTTTTTGATGCATACATAGTATGGGCTTCGTCAGGAATACATAGTTTTGATTTCAGAGTTGTCTTTCTCCTAGACTTGTTGTCAACACAGCTAGAGTGCCCAGTCTTCTATTTAACCCATAGTTAGGGGAAGAACAGAAGAATCCATAAATTTCCCAATGTACTTGTGCGAAAGTGAATGTAATGAACTCAACTGGAGATCAAACTGGGCTCGCCAAGTTTTCGTTCCAAGCCGTTAACCATTACACAACCTGCACAACCATTATATACATAAAATAAGCTTAAAGCAAAAAATAAATTAATATACAAAATATTTCATAAATATAACGTTTAAACCCTTTAAATGAAGAGTGCTCTCCCCCTAGATCTGTAAAAATGCATTATTTGTATTTATTGGCCCAGTTGTCTTTCTTAAATGATTTCTTAAGATAAACCTGTCTCGATAGTAGATGTGTGGCTTTATTAATGGAACATGCATGAAATAATCATCAGACAATTTTATATATGGAAGAGAAAAATAATAAAAAAAAAAAAAAAGAATCAATATTTACTTGATAAATAAAGTGTAATGGACTTTGTGATTATATTCCAAAGATAATATTCTGTTTGGAATATATCACAAAAGCTGCCATTGTTTTGGATGAAAACAAACAGAGAGCAATCTGTATCAGGTTACACAAGTAATGATAAACTAGCTATTATAAAGAACCCCCTTCCTAAAAGATAAATACTAAATAAAGACAAGATCAGAAAAGAAAACAGTATTGTGACAAATCATTGACAGAAGAGGGAAAAAAAATTGAAATATCTTTATTGATACTGAATTGACATAATAGATTGATTATAAAAAAAAAGAAAAAAAAGCAACTACACATCAAAATTTACTAAACTGTTGGATGAATGTGAGTGAATCTATATAAGAGTTTATTAAAGTTTCTACTGTCAAAGAAATAAAAGTAACATTTTAAATAGTTGAAAGTAATCTGGTCGAAACCTGAAAAGATTAGTTTATTGCTCTATTTCAACATGACTTCGTGCTGTTTATTATGCTAGAGCTAAGTGCACTCTACACATTTTAACTAAGTTTTTAAAAGTAATATAAACATGAATAAGTGATGAGAAATGCTTTCTCCCCCTGTAGCAAAATGCACAAATCACACAACTGAAGAAGTTCAGTCATTGCATTTTTCTGAGCCAAGACAACTCCACAAGTGGTGCAAGATGCAGGGGGATGACTGCTTTTATCTAGTCATCATCTTTAGAATGGTTTCCAAACAAGGCTCTAGAACCTAGTCTGCCCTATTATTTAACCCATAATTGGGGGAGAAAAGATGGAGTTATACCTTTCCAAAGGGCATTTACACGCCAATTAACAAACTTGACTTGAATTTGAAATCAGTGCTCTGATTTCTTATTCTGAGCTGCTATCCATTACACTCCCCATATGTAGATTATGTTGGTTTTGTCAAAATAAATTTTCATATTCTTCTTTACCAAATTCTCCTTTTTTGTGAGGTAACAGTTTTCTCATTTACACCAATTATTCAGAATATATTTTACTTAAAGAAATCAGATTTAAAATAACTCAATATATATTTCATCGAGTTGAAAATAATAAATACGAGAGAACAAATAAGTTTTGCACTGTAATAATACCTATGAAAAACAACTATGTATATTCCATGTGGCAAAAAGTAGTAGCTAACCTTCACCAACTAAAACGCCCATGTGTTGAATGTATTCTCTGCTGAAAATGTTTAAAAAAATCTTGGACTGTTTCTCACTCTCTTTCCTAGAGATTTCAGCAACTCATGCAAATTTCAGCCAATCATGGGCATCCCAACCTCCTGTTTTGGGGAAAGGAAGAACTTAATTATTTTGCTGCTCATGTCTGATATGGTAGTTGATTCTTCTGAGACTTGCAACTTTTGGGACTGGCATATATCTTTCTGATACATTCCATCAATAACATTGTTTTAGCTCTTATTTACTTATTTTACATTTTTATGGTTTAAGAAAGCAACAAATCTTGCTTGTATTAAAATACATGACAAAAATGAATTCCAATTGCAAATGACTTACCTCCTGCTTTATTTTGTCTCCTTAATTTTCTGTAGTCATTATAAAGTGGCTCAAGATACTTAAAACAATCCAAAGAAGTTCCAACAAGTCTCATGTACACAGCACCAAGGGCACGCACATACCTGAAATTAACAATTTCATTCAGCTTTCACTAATTTTTTTTAATAAACAGAAAAATGTCATTACCAATTTTAAGAACAACAAAAGTTTATTTAATGGCTATGTAATGTTATCATTATACAGACTAAATCTCTCATGCATAAAATTATTGCAAACCTATCCTTTTGTAGTATTTACTAAACTTTGCTTTGTGGATTACATAAAATGAAATTCAAAATAATTGAATATAGTTAAGTATTAACAGTACCTGCAACCTGAATACAGGGTTGAGTTTTGCAAATAGTAGTTATTCCATATATTCTTATCAACTGTGTTAAATTAATCTCAACCTCTACAATATTCTATAAAGAATTATTCAGTAACAAACATTAAGTAATAATGACTTTCCTAATCATATTGTCAATGAGCAAATAAAATTATTTTTACAGAATGACATACATAATAAACCTGAATTAAACCACAACAAAAATACTATTAACTTATTTTACTGTAAGCAGTACAACTCCAATTACATAAAAGATGAAAAAGCTATAAAAATACAACCCATTGATATATTTACATAATTATTGCAGATAAAAAAAATCAGCTGAAGATTCATCATATACTTAAAAAAAAAATTAAAACTCAGCTCTTACAGTTGCTAACAACACTTTGTACAACAATTGCACCAAAGATGGACACTTATATTTATTTTTCTACCACAAATGCAAAAAATGGAATTATGATGGAGAAACAAGTACAGAATTCCATCTTCAAATCAATAACCATAACAAAAAAAAAAAAAAAGAAAAAGACAACAACAATTTCCTTGTCACTGCACACATCAAATGTGAGCTTTTAGCCTCTTCCATGAAGAAAGCTGCAGATCAAAGATAAAATACATTTTCAAAATAGAATCATATACTAAAGGATTAAACAAGGATTTGGGTTTACTCAGAATATAGTTTCCTCAAGGAGCCTCTAACCAAAAACAACAACATTTCCCAGAAGGAGTTCCACTTCTTTGTTTATTGTAAAAGGACAGACATATCTGAAAATTCCAACTTGAAAATCTTCCTCTTTGTGTTTCAATTTAGTCTAAAGGCTTACTAAAATATTAGTAAAAATAGTTAAGAAAAAAAAGTAGACTATTGTTATGCAAACATAACATTAGCATATGCAGGTGGAAATAGAAAATTGTATTATGTTGGAGTGTCAAGACTTTCGGACTACCTTGTAAATATAATGGATATATCAAAGGGATAATTTTATTGTTCCTGACAATATATTCATTTCACTTATTTTATTTAATCCAAAAGTATCTACACAACAAATAAATATACAAAACAGTTCTCTTTCACAATAGTTTTCAAATAACTCACTTATCAATTAAGTTTGATCACTTATAAAATGTCATTTTATATAAATAAAAGTTTAGGAAACTTACTTAAAGTCTTCATTCTTGATGAATTCAACCACAATATCTTTTTCTGGTTGAATTTGTAGCATCTTCAGCACCAAACACAAGAATGGTGTTGGCTTGATGTTTCCACCAAATACACCACCAATATATTTCAGTTCCATTGCTTTGTCAACCATCAGTTCCGCTGAAAATAAAAAAAATAAAACTGAAAGTCTTCAATGAACTACAAATAACAATAACAACTTTTTTGCATGACACATACAAATTTGATTGCAACAAACAACTTAGGCTCTACAGTAATCATTAACCTCTGTGCTCGCAAAAAGGTGTCAGAAGGGCAGTTTTTTCGCTTTTTAAAACAAAACAACAAAAAAAAACATTGCTGAAGAGTGAATGTAGTTAAAAATAATTTTTTTAAAGGGAAAAGCAGTCCTTTTATTTTGACACATTGTTTTTTTATTTTTTTGCAGACACGAAAATTAAAGATTTTTTAAATAAAGTACAAATATCGAGGTCAATAATTAAGGAATTTCATAAATTGTTATTTTCCTTTTAGGTTTTGTTAAAAAAGCAATATATTCCCTGCAAACATTGATTTTTGCAACTCGATATTTGCATAATATACCAAACAACAGATGGTCTAGTTAGTAACATCTGATGATATCACTCTCTTCATTAAAACAATGTGATTAATCAATGTTTTTAATAGCAATGCTACAAGTAAAAATATGGTTCTGTGATAAAAAACAAGTATTAAAAACAAACTTGATGTGTCCTATATACCACTACCACCAAGTACTACACAATCGAATACGACAGATGATTGAGAAAACATTATTTTTTCAGATCAGGGTATCACTTTTTTCCAAGTGACTAGTCTTGAATTGATAATTTAAACAAAATTTTATTCTTTCCGCAGTTAAGCAATATAGTTTGCGCGTGGCAAATGAGAACAAAAATATTTTTTTTTTTTTTACAGATTTTACAGTACACATAAGTTTTAAACTTTTACAGCAATCTCAAAATAAAAACGAATACAAATAGATAGCACTTTTTCAATGAATTAACATTAATAACAGTGATTCGGTTCATGACCTTGCTATAAGATTTTTAACCCCCCAAAATAAAACACTTTCTTTCTGTATATTGCCTTTTTAAACAAGAAAAACTGATCGCAAAAAAGAGGATTTTTAGCGCTCTTCTTGTTTCATAGCTTGTATGTTATTGTAATGATCATCTTGATTCTAGCATAATCGTTCCATGCATATAGTTAATTAATCAAGTAAATATATTTCTAATTTCTAATCAAGGAAATGTATTTACAACTTTTACAGAAAATTTAAAAACTATTTAGTTACAGTACACTCACACACTAATTTAGAAAAAGTCAAATTCATGTTAGTTAAAATACTAAACCTCAATCACACATGCTTTGTAATAAAAATGAATTACCTGTCAAGGCAAAGCATTCTTCTTTCCAGTAACGACTTTCATAGATTCTGGTTCGAATGATTTTTTCCACTAAATATTGTGGATTTGTTCCTTTCACTGAATGAGCATCTTTCACTGTCCGGTTCGCCATTTCTAACGCACGTGAAGAGCTTGTACTCAAGGGAGATAATCCAAAGACTTCATTATACCTTGACAACAGTCCGTGTCATGACTATTAATTTATTCCTTCTTTTATTCAATTACTTATTTGCCTATTTGGGCTAGTATTCACATCTTTTTTTTCCCAGAATTATTCATCTGATATGTTATTTCTTCTTACCCTAAATGTATGTTGCATCCGGTAATACTCAAGTGTCCAACAGTTTTTTTGTTATTTAGTTTTCATTATTTTAGGATACTTATCTATCTGAATACTGGTTTAGGTTATCACACTGATACAATATCGTCTCCAGACCACAGCTCAACAGGCATCGAGTTGGATCTGGTTAAAATCCAAAATAAATAAAGTTAATTAAATGTAATATTAGATATTCACACTTACCTGATCCAAAACGTCTGAGGTGTCTGGCCTGCTAAACCTCCATTTGAAAGGTCCAAGGCGCATCTGACTGAGGTTCATCGACACAGTGGGCACTTTGGAGTTAAGCAGACATTGTATTTTGCACATAGGATTGACCCATCCATGTCAAAAGTGGCATTGAAGTTGGTTGTTTGGAATTGTGAGGAATGTCAGTCTGTAGACCCATCATCGGTGCAATGGCAGAAAGGAGGGCTCTGTATGCATGAGACGTGGAATGGACTAGGTATGGACATCATGCACTACAACAATTGCCACGCATTTTCGATTTGGTGACTGTTGCTTCAGCAGGTTACTGCACATGTGATCAGGCAGTTGGAGTCAGTGTTTATTGAACGCGGACCCTCAGCCGAGCTCCTGGCCAATAATGACACTGTCTTCTGCAGTCAGCAATTTAGACAGTTCCTGAATGATTGTGACATCTGGTTCTGACCATGTATGCATACAAACCATCTGGAAATGGTATTGTAGATAGGTGTCATTGAACAGTAACACAGATTGCTGCACGGAAGAATTGCCCAAACATAGAGGCCATATATTGGTATAATGTCACACCTAAGGATGACATGTCTGCCTCATCTGCCTTGTCTGCACCTGCCAATCTACTGCATCCATACCAGATTCGAATGAAAGGAAGTCATGTTGTGCTTCCACCTGACTACCAAGGGACATCGACCCAGTACAGTGAGGGGGACTCTGTCTGGATGAAAAATCCACAGGGACAGTCCATGTCAAAATTTAAACCTGGTCACATTCATTACCAGGATAATCAGTCCACAGTTGGTGGTCATTGATGGCATGCCTTGGCACATGGGAAACATGTATCCATGGTTCAGTTCAGGGCTGCCAGTGGATGATGGCAATGACATATCGTCAGGGAATAATGAATGGAGAGAACCAGGCTCCAGTGCAAGCATTTGAGGGAGAGATGGGACTGATATTTATCCCCCTCCCCGCGCCTCATTCCATGGATTCTGATTCAAACCCCAGTACATCTGACATTTGGCCAGGAAAGAAGAAATTCTTGTCCCACTGTGAAGGAGTGCTAGGGTGAAACAACCCCCCCACCTGGCACATGTGTCACGGAGGGGAGTGTAAAGATCAGTGGGGAGTGTAAAGATCAGTGGGGAGTGTAAAGATAGATATTTGCACTTACCTGATCCAAAGCGCCTAAAGTGTCTGGCCTCCTGAACTGCCATTTATGAGAGGTCCAGGTTATGTGCCTGATATTGAATGTTTGGGGATCAGCCATCTCAAATATATGAGAATGACCACCCACTGAAAAAAGGTGTTATACAACAGTGGCAGGGGGCAGAGAAAAGTTGGAAGTGGAAGCGAGCTTGTAATAAATACAAATATTATAACTAAAATTACTTGTAGTTATTGACAGCAGTATTCAAAAAGCTACATAAAAATTTGACTTGCCACTTTTTTCATTAATGTCCCTCCTATACAAAACCCAAGAACCACTCTAGGTAGAGGGTTACTGAAGGAGATTGTTGTATGAGCAGCAACAAGTGAATATTATGAGGTTATGTGGGAAAGATAATAGTTAACCCAATATTTGAAGAGATCAAGGTTGTAGTGGTTGGGAAAGTATCCTCTCAGAATCCCATTCCACTAAGCAATGATTTGTGGGAAGAAGCTGTCCAAGTGGAACTTCTTTTTTACTATTGGAATATGAAGGAGATAGGGATGGTTCATCCTAAAAGAAAAACAATTTGTGGGAAGATATTCAACACCTCATGGTACAAACAGAGTATTAAGAGAATTGTATAACAACCCAAATAAACAGTCATCTGAAGATTCAATATGAATAAGTGAAACCATTTTTTTTTTTGCCTGGACATCAAAGGGCCATGGCTGAATGGTTAGAATGCTCACTTTCTAACCATGAGTCCTGGGTTTGAATCTCTCATTGGCTTCAATTTATTCATTAAAATGACTTCTTGATGTTATCGACTGAGAGAGGCGATTCCTGTACATGGCACCTTTGGAAAGTACCTGAAAACCATATCATGGGTCGACCCAAATCATGTGAGTGAAATTGGGTAGACAGAACCATCAATGGTTATACTAACACAAAGTCACAAGTCATCGTGACCAAGGGTTTGAGTGTACTGCCTTTCTTCAAGAAATTAATCACATTCTCTCTCCCAGAAATTCTAACTAAAGCCAACTCAGCATAGTTGCAGAATAAAACAGAAATTGACTCTGTGGATTGAGCAAACATCTGCAATAGGATTTGACTAGAAACAAATCATAGCTTGCCATCACTTTTCATCAATTGCTGTCCTATAGTAGTTCAAATGAATTTATAGCAAATGCATTCTTATTAGAAAGTTGCTAGTGAGGATAGGTAGTAGGATAATTATTCTATCAGAAACTTTTCAAATAAAATAAACTGACTCAAGGGTTTAAAATAAATAATATATTTTTATTTATAGTAGTAGTAGTAATATCATAAATTAAGTTGATGTCAATCTGTTGTGTTTTATCAGCTCTGAACAAGGTGAAAATGTCAATAGCAGATAAACTCTTAACTGTTTCTTCACACATCATGCATTGCTGCTTTCTTTTGTTGTGTCCTGTCCTGATGTTGTTCCCCATGTCCCATCTGTCTTCTGTCAGGGGTGTCAGGTTTTTATCCTTTGACCAGGCTTGAGAATTTGGCCTCTATGTGCTGATTCGCTTGATTGGCTGAACTATTTTATTTTCTGACGTTCCTTTCTTTTTCATTTTTCTTTTTTCATAATGAAAGTTATGCATGGAGTCTCCTGATTTTTTGCATTTTTCAGTCACAAATAAGTTCTGATTCTGTAAATTTCCTGTGTTTTTGGCTGGGTTCAGTCTTTTCTTTTCCTCTTTTTATTTGAGGGTTGCCTTCTCAAGAGAAGTATAGAAAGAGAGGTTTAGTGAGAGAGAAAGAAAGCAAATAGGGTTTTAAAGGAAAGTGCAAATGCCTTATTTTAATAATAATTCTTTATATTTTTGCTTGTATATTTTATTTTTATTGGGATTCACTACAAATCATGTGATTTTCCAGAACAAGTTCATAGTAAAGTACTCACTCCCAATGCCACCATATATACAGCATCACTTTCTTTGGATAAAAGTTTTTGATTTTGCTGTTTTGTTCAGAAATACCTAAAATGTCAGCTGTATACATCTGGTTTCAGTTTCTCAGATCAATTATTAAAAATGGCATCAATTGAGTGAAGTGTGTCAGCCTCAGTGAGGCCATCCTTTTTCAAATCTCATCGACTGGTGCTACAGAATTGTAAACAAACAAGTAACAGAAACCACATCACTTGAGGACTTTCAGCTGCAAGAACTAAAATGGATAGTACATGTAACTCAAAGAGAAAATGACATAATCAATTGATGTTCCATACTATTTCAAGCAAAACACAAGGAAGGAAGCCCCATCAATACTGAAAAGAGCAATAACTGTTACTGGATTTGAGAATTTGAGAAAATTAAATAAAAATCGATAAATAATAATAATAAAGAAAAACAAATACATTCAAAGAGTAAAGGAACTGGAAATATATTAGCTGGCACTGTTGAAGACTATAAAAAGGCAAACGTTACCTGCCTCACATATTTTTATCCTTTTTGCTCCAAAATGAAGAACATGGTAATTACATTCCAACTGAGGAACATTGGTTTACCCAGTCCACTGGCAACTGAGCTCATACTTGCCTGTGTCTTCCAAAACCTCAACCTATGAAGCTAAGCTTACTGTTTGGTTGTTTCAAACTGGTGCAAGGCTGACTTGAGTATGACCATTGTAACAATGCTTATACTGAATTACCATAAATTCTGGACCAAGGAAAAGGTGATACCAATTTTTTTTCAGTACTTTATTTGGATACTTAAGTGTGTTAGCTATATCCTGCATCATATAACATTAATTACTCTTAAATATTGTCATGCTATCAATCTCAACTGGTGTACACAACTGTGAAACATTTGTTTTATTTTCTTTTAGAAAAAACCTCTAGCATAAAATTTTGCAAAATACTTTTTTGACTTTTTTTTATCATTGACAATCTTCTCAATAAAATGCACATTTTAAAATTTTTTTTCTATATTTGAATTGCATTTTTCATTTAAATAAAATGTACATTGTATTGAAAAGCTTGCTTATTCTCTTCCATTTTCAATGTTAGAATCAATAAAGAAAAAAAAATTTTTTATGACAGCTATCACAATGCAATCAAAGCATTTTTTAAAAATAAAATTAAAACTAAACACTTCAAATTTACAAAAACAAAATTTTAATGAATCCAATATATATACAGGGTGGGGTTGATAAATTGTTGCCATTTTTATTTTTAATTTTGTTCATGCACATTGTTTTGATTTTGTCAACTGCACAGTATAGTAGGGTCAGTTGGGCACTGCCTGTGAGAAAAAGGGCACCATAGTGCAATTCACTCTGCCAGAAATTTGGAAACAGCATAGTGGTCTGCTTGGCATTCACACTGGAAGATCCAATACAAACATTTCAGAGGGTTTGGGTGCCAATTTGAGGATAGTGCAGAGGA